GAAGCTTTATCAAAAAGGAAAGTTTTAAGCCTAGCCTTAAAAGTAGACAGGGTGTCTGCCTCACGGACTAAAACTGGTAGTTGGTTTCACAGGAGAGGAGCCTGAGAACTAAAAGATCTGCCTCCCATTCTACTTTTAGAAATTCTAGGAACCACTAGTAAACCTGCAAGGATGAATCATTTATGACATAAGATGGAGTTTGGCCATTTAAAGCTCTACATGTGAGAAGCCTTAGATGGTTTCTATCTTAATGTTTCCATGAAGCGTCGGTCTACATCTCGTCCATGAATGCTTTCTGTTGTTGCTAAAGCGAGCAGCGATAAGCCCAGCTGTGATGACGTTGGCAGTTTTATTGTGTGGTTGTGTTCAGAGCAGCGTGGGCCCCACAGGCTGCTGATGATGATGATGATGATGGCTGGGAATCAGCAGGATGTTCCACTGCTGAACTCACTGATAGCAGCTGCAGAGGGAGAGGCAGCAGATAAGCTGCTCTGGGAACAGTTGGAGTCTAACATGATCAAAGAGGAGCTATAGCTTTATTTATTCCCCAAACAGTCTTAGTTTCATTCTAATGAAACTGAATAATAGAAATAATGTAGTTTAGAGTCACTGTTTGATGGTTATGCCTCGTCGTCTCCCGTCAGACACATGATTTGTTTTAACCCTGTGGAGCTCTGCTCCCTTCGGCCCTGCAAACACCTCCTCCCTTTCAGCCTCACATGGGCTGATATCGCTTAAAAACAACTCGCATTCCTCTGTGTGTCGTCTCTCCCCAATCGACAAGGACAGCGAGGTAGATGTTCAACGAAAATACGGACAAATAAAGAAAGGAATGTGGAAAAATAGAGAGCTGATGAAATGTGACCTTAGGAGACGGATGTCGGGCTGATAAGAGGAGGAATTTTTTCCCACAGTGGAGCTGCTCACTGCTTTACATTCATTTAAAAACACATTTAAAGGTCAAAACCTCGTATTTCTAGAACTGAAATCTTTCCGTTTTCTCTCACATGACATTGTTTACACTGAAAAACTTCTCTGGCAGCCACTGAGTGCACAAACACTAGATTACAGCAAGGACGCCACACAGGACAATAACTCCTCCTCCTCCCCCCGCCGGACGCAAACTCAAATCCCCCTGCTATAATCCCCCAGGGAAATCTCCAACACAGGACAAGGTGGAGAGTTTGGAGCGAGGAAGGCTTCTTCCCGTCAGTCTCCTTTAGTTGAGGCGGGGAGAGTGGAGCGTTTCAAGTGTGTTCTGGACGGTGTTTGAGATCTGAAGTGGAGAGAGAGGGAGGGGAGGGGGCCAATCTTCTAGGACTCTGTTTCTGCTTGTTGGTGAGTTTAAATCCTTTCTATCCAGAGATTTCTGCACCTTTAACAAAAACCTTTAGTCAGCTGTTATTTTCTTCTGAAGCCGTTTGATCATACTGTTTTAATCTGCATCCATTTATACCACCTGATTCCAATCAATTTCTTTGAACCATTTACTGCTGTTTGAGTTTTCCAGTTTAAAAGTGTCCAAAACATCAGCAGTTGTTTGGAATTTCTAGAAATAAAGTCATTTGATCCGTGTCGTTCAACAACAGGCGGTTCCTGAGTCCCTCACTCACATCAGTATTTAGTACGAGCCGTAAAGCAGAACCCAAAAGGTCATGATTAGGTCTAAATGACCCTGGAGACTTTAGGCATGCTGCTCCAACATGGCTTTAACTCGTTAGGTCAGCTTCTGTCATGTCCTGACAAGGAACCCGCTGGCAGGATATTGATCTGGATGCAAATAATTTTGCCGAATTTGCATCATAAATGGATTTAAAAGAGGAACCTACTGCTTGGGGATGTTTCGTACCAGTCAGGTGTCACGGCGGCCTTAGAGATGTATTGTCAAAGAGTTACAGGGACCCAAAGCTTCTTTAAAAGGTTTCTGGATGTTAGCATATGTGCAAAGTTAGCTTAGCATTTTTTGTGACAATTTATGTGACAAGTTTATAATAAGGCTTGTAGCATTGGTGTTGAAGGTTCACAAAAGTATGCGTGGATAAACGCTAATAAATACTGTGTTAGCATTAGCATGTTTGCTCTTTTGATGTCACTTGTTGATAACTAGGCTTTTAGCGTCATTAAAAAGGTTTACTCAATCATTTGTTGAAAAATGCGTATAAGTGCTATTTAGCATTAGCATCTTTGCTAGGCTTTTAGCATTTTTATAGAAGGTTTACTCAATCATTTGTTGAAAAATGCGTATAAGTGCTATTTAGCATTAGCATCTTTGCTAGGCTTTTAGCATTTTTATAGAAGGTTTACTCAATCATTTGTTGAAAAATGCGTATAAGTGCTATTTAGCATTAGCATCTTTGCTAGGCTTTTAGCATTTTTATAGAAGGTTTAGTCAATCGTGTGGAGAAACGCATGTAAATGCTAGG